CCCACCCAACTGAGTCCAGCCGTGGGGTGCCCTTGGACCCCCTCAGACACGGCCCTGCTCCCCCCAGGCACCCACCAGCTCCTGTGGCCACACGTGCTGTGCCCTTGGTGAGGCCCCAGCCCCTCACCCCCATCTGGGTGCCCACAGCTGACCTGGGTTGTGGCCACAAACTCAACGAGGCTCCCTCTGACCCAACCCAGATCCTCATCGCCACGCTGCGGGTGGCCCTGCCCAGCGTCATGCGCTTCTGCTGCTGTGTGGCCGTCATCTACCTGGGCTACTGCTTCTGTGGCTGGATTGTGCTGGGGCCCTATCACGTGAAGGTAGGGGCCACCGTGGCTGGGGTGTGTGTAGCCTGCAGTCGAAGGATCCCTGGCCCCCTCCCCTAAGCACCCTTACCCCTGGACTCCCCAGATCCAGTGACATTGCATGACTCAGCTGGACCCCAGGGCCTTACCAGCAGGTCTGACCCCTGGGGACCCTGACATTGACCCTGTAACCTGGTCACGGGCACCATGACTCCCAGATGACCCCATCTGACTGCTAGTACTCCATGTACTGTCCTTTTTAAAACCCTGGTAACCTTGACATTGAGTCTATGGCCTGGTCACTGACACCATGACCCCATCATGACTGCTAGTACTGCATGCACTGTCCCCTCTAACCCCTGATGACCTTAACATTGACCCTGTGACCCGGTCATTGACACCGTGACTCCCAGTTAGCCCCATAGTGACTGCAGGTACTCTGATCTGTCTCTTCTAACCCCTGGTGACCCTGACATTGACCCTGTGACCTGGTTATTGACACCATGACTCCCAGATGAGCCCGTTGTGACTGCTAGTATTCCATGCACTGTTCCTTTTAACTTCAGTGACCCTGACATTGACCCTATGACCTTGTCATTGACATTCTGACCCCCAGATGACCCCTTGGTGACTTCTGGGAGTCTGTCCACTGTCCTCTGTGGCCTCTGGTGACCCTGACACTGACCCTGTGCCATTATTGTCACAGTTGCTGGGGACCCTATTTCAACCTGGGTTACTCCCCTTCCTGCTCTATCTGCCCAGAACCTAGGTCAGCCCTGTGATCCTGACTTTGACCCTGGGACCCAGCCACTCACATGATGACCCCCACCCGGGACCCAGCCACTCACATGGTGACCCCAGCCCGGGACCCGGCCACTCATGTGGTGACGCCATCCCGGCACCCGGCCACTCACGTGGTGACCCCAGCCCGGAACCCAGCCACTCACGTGGTGACCCTAGCCTGATGCCAGCCCCCAGCTCCGGCCATGCCTGGCTCCCTCTGACCCTCCACCCCTCCACAGTTCCGCTCACTGTCCATGGTGTCTGAGTGCCTGTTCTCGCTCATCAATGGGGACGACATGTTCGTGACGTTCGCCGCCATGCAGGCCCAGCAGGGCCGCAGCAGCCTGGTGTGGCTCTTCTCGCAGCTCTACCTGTACTCCTTCATCAGCCTCTTCATCTACATGGTGCTCAGCCTCTTCATTGCGCTCATCACCGGTGCCTATGACACCATCAAGGTCAGTCATGCGTGCTCAGCCACGTGCCTAGCCCCAAGCCCAGGCTCTGGGTGCCTGGAGTCTGCCATGCAGGGGTTTTGGGGACACCACAGGTGAACAGAGAAGACCCCGGGAAAGAATATGGGTAACTCTGTGAAACCAAAAAGTGGGTGGTTCGAAATTGGGGGCCGCAGGGGAAACTGATGGCATCTCAGCCTTGGCAAGGTGGGTTTGGGCCAGGAGGGTGCCTAAGTCTGCCTTTACCTTTACAGGGTAACCAAGTCATAGTTTATTTATTTGTTTGTTTATTTAAGATGGATTTTCTCTCTGTCGCTTAGGCTGGAATGCAGTGGTGCCATTTTGGCTCTCTGCAACCTTTGCCTCCCCGGTTCAAGCAGTTCGCCTGCTTCAGTCTCCTGAGTAGCTGGAACTACAGGCCTGCGCCACCATGCCCAGCTAATTTTTATATTTTTAGTAGAGATGGGGTTTTGCCATGTTGGCCAGGCTGGTCTCCATCCAGCTCCTGACCTCCTGATCCACCCGCCTCGGCCTCCTAAAGTGCTGGGATTACAGGCGTGAGCCACCACACCCAGCCCATTATTTGTTTTTTTCGAAATGGAATCTTGCTCTGTGGTCCAGGCTGCAGTACAGTGCTGTGATCTTGGCTCACTGCAGCCTCCGCTTCCCGAAGTCAAGCGATTCTTCTGCCTCAGCCTCCTGAGTAGCTGGGATTACCGGCATGTGCCACCACACCTGGCTAATTTTTGTATTTTTACTAGAGATGGGGTTTCACCACATTGGCCAGGCGGGTCTGGAACTCCTGACTTCAAGTGATCCACCCCCCTTGGCCTCCCAAGGTGCTGGGATTACAGGCATGAGCCACCGTGCCCAGCAAAGTCACAGAGTTTCAACCACCTTGTCACTGACCCTGGGACGTTGCCATTCACATGGTGACCCTCAGCTGGCCCCATTCCTAAGGCTGACCCCTAGGGACTCCACCCTGTCCTCGGCCCCCAGCCATGCCCCCAGTTCCCTCTGACCCCACCCAAGGTTAACTTCTAAGCAGTAAAACTGGGCTCAACTCAGGACTGTCTGATTCCAGAAGCCATGCTCCTAATCCCCCTGTCCTCTGTCTAGTGCGGTGGCTGGGAACAGTGGTTTCCCAGAAAGCTGCAAGGATCAGGGGACAGAGCAGGATGTGGAAGTGGCAGGTAGACATATGTAAGGGCCAAGATCTGTGTCGGATTCTGGGCATCGAGGAGAATCAGGTGTACGTGATCTGTCCAAGGCCTCTGGGCAAGATGCATGAGACAGGAGCAGACAACCCATGACCAGTGACCTACTTGTAACAGGTATGAAGGAAGAGTGAAAGATCATAGAGGGACTCCTGCTTTAGATTTGTATGAGAATAGGTCCAGGAGAACTTCTAGAATGTTCTATTACTAGTCTGTAGTGCCATGCAGCTATTTAAATTTTGATTTTGATTCTGGCTGGGCACAGTGACTCATGCCTGAAATCTTAGCACTTTGGGAGGCCGAGGTGGGCAGATCACCTGAGGTCAGGAGTTAGAGACCAGCCTGGCCAACATGGTAAAACCCCGTGTCTACTAAAAATATAAAAAATTAGCCAGACGTGGTGGCACACACCTGTAATCCCAGCTACTTCAGAGGCTGAGGCAGTAGAATTGCTTGAACCTGGGAGGAAGAGGTTGCAGTGAGCTGAAATTGAACCACTGCACTCCATCCTGGGTGATGGAGTAAAACTCTGCCTGTGGGGAAAGAAAATTTTTTTTTTAATTTTAATTCAGGCTGGGCGAGGTGGTGGTTCACGCCTGTAATCCCAGCATTTTAGGAGGCCGAGGTGGGTGGATAATGAGGTCAGGAGTTCCAGACCAGCCTGGCCAAGATGGTGAAACCCCATCTCTACTAAAAGTACATATTAGCCATGTGTGGTGGCCGGTGCCTGTAATCCCAGCTACTTGGGAGGCTGAGGCAGGAGAATTGCTTGAACCCGGAGGTTGCAGTGAGCCAAGATTGCACCACTGCATTCGAGCCTGGGCAACAGAACAAGACTCTGTCTCAAAAAAAAAAAAAATTAATTCAAATGAAGTAGAATTGCAAATTCAGTTCCTGACTGGCACCATCCTGTATCCACTGCCCAAAAGCCAGTGTGGCTGGTGGCTGCCATATTGGACAGCATAGACATTGAACCTTTCCATCGTCTCTAGACCTAAGAGATGGAGCTGGAGGGGCAGTGCATTGAGGGGAAGGAATAGCTAAAGCAAAGGCCTAGTAGCTGGAAAATACTTGGAGAAAAGATAGTCCCTCCATGAGGCTGAGCAAGAAGAAGGAAATCTTGGCTAGGACCCTGCCACATCCAGTGTCACCGTCAGATGAGTCCACCCCTTTTCCCCATGCATGGATTCAGCTGTCCTATAGACATCCCTGGGAGCTACTTCCTGTCTCGCCCTAGCACTTACACGCCACACACATGCATCCACTCTGGTGGGCAAACTCAGGCCCTGCTGCCACAGCCGGGCTCAGTGTGCATCCGGCTCACTCAGTAAATGGTTTCTGAGCACCGAGGTTGTGTCAGGTCTAGCTCTAGGTCTCTAGGTGCTGGGCCCACAGCAAAGGGCACCAGACTGGCAAAGATACAACTTGTGTCTAGGTTCCGGGGTCTCTGTGCAAGGAAACTATGAAACCACGGGTCAGCAGGCACAGCAAGAGCAAAGGCAGTGGGGGTGGGGGGGGGGAAGTGATGCAGATGGCTGGAGGGGAGGGCAGACTTCAAGGGTCTTAGAGGTTGGGGGCCGCTTTCAGGCTGAGTCTCCTGGCTTCTCTTCCCAGCATCCCGGTGGTGCAGGTGCAGAGGAGAGTGAGCTCCAGGCCTACATCGCGCAGTGCCAGGACACCCCGACCTCTGGAAAGTTCCGCCGCGGGAGCGGCTCGGCCTGCAGCCTTCTCTGCTGCTGCGGAAGGTTCGAGTCCTGGGTCTGGCCCATTCAGATTGGGAGTTGGGGGCTGGGGAAAAGGGAGCGAGCCAGAGAAATCTGATGCCCCTCTTCCCTGCTTCCCTCCTCCAGGGACCCCTCGGAGGAGCATTCGCTGCTGGTGAATTGATTCGACCTCGACTGCCATTGGACCTTAACCCCTGGACTTAGGAGACCCCCCCCCGCCCCCACGCCCCGCTTATTTATTCTTAGGGTTTGCTTTTAAGGATCGGCTCCCTGCCGCGCCCAAGGAGGGCCTGGACCTTTCGAGTCGGACTCTTGGGGGCTGGGAGACAGGGTGGGGAGGGTGTTCAATAAAAGGGAAAATAAATGCGTCGTTCTCATTTTTAGCCGGAGGAGCAGTCCTTGCATTAATCTGTGTGTGGCCCTTTAAGGCGCGGCCACACTCAGCATGGCAGCCTTAGTCTGCCTTCTAAGCTTGGTGGGGCGGGGCGGGGCTGTGGCTCGCCTTTCCGTGAATAATTTAAAGGGGCCGCGCCTGCAGAGTCGGCCTGAATGCTAACGGTGTTGGTGCGGAGTGGACCCCGGCTGCGGCCCTTGGGTAAGTCTGGGTTTCCGTCGGCCTCGCAGGCGTGTCCCTTCGAGGGTTATTAGCGAGCTTCCGCTTTCCCAAGATCTGTCCTCCGATTCATGTTAACTTTCGATATTCTGATGGTCCCATCCCCCGACTACCCGGCAGGTGTTTCCGCACCGGTAGCCAGGTGTGCCCTGGGGTGGAAGAGGACCTGCCACCCAGGAATTTTCCAAGAAACGAAGCCTCCAGGATTCCTTCCCCCGACCCCCGAATTTCCATTAATACTCAAGCGGTGTCCGAAACATCCTCAGCTTCCCAAAAAAATCCCAGTAATATTCCAGCATGTCTCAGTATCTTCCAAGGAGACAGGACGCCCTCCCCAGGCCCGCACTCATAAGCACCCCAGGAATGTACCCACCCACCTCCTGGTTTTCCCAGCAGTAGTCCTGTAATCTTCAGAATCTCTCAGTAACTTTCCAGTACCCTCCCACCCCCACCCCAGTAATCCCAGCGTCCCTGGTTACGCCTCCCAGCAATGGCGCCAGCATCGGTCCCGGAGTCCCAGTGATGCTCCGTGCCATAAAGCCCCCGTAACTTCACTACTACGTGGTAGTAAATCTCCAGCAAAACCTGGCAGCGCCTTGCAAATCCACGCCACCCCAAGCATCCCAGGACTCTTCTGAAACGTGGGTATCAGACATCTCCTGCGGTGCCCCTGAGAGCACTCCTGTGCTCCCCAGCCCCTGGGTCTAACCGGGGGCAGGCTTGGGTTGGGAACCGGGTATCTAGGTGCCACCCCCGGACCCCACGGCTTGCAGGCCCCAGTTTTCCTGGGGTGGGGCATTGAGTCTTCGACGGAATAAGGGGTGCAGTCTAGGGGCTCGGGTGGTCAGGCTTGATCAATCCCGCAGAGGGCAGTGACCCAGAAGGAAGTCACCAGCTGCAAGGAACTGTGCCCTGCGGGTACCTGCCTGCAGGCTGCTGACAGTGGGTGCCAGGTCGGCCTTTGGCCCCAGGGTGGGGTTGGACGGGCGGGGCGTCTGGTAGGCCCTAGGAGTAGGCGAAGGGAGCCAGGCAGGAAGCCCGGGACCTGCCTCACCTCCTGGCCGGGGCCGGGAGGTCGGTTTGCCCCATCCCTTAGTCCTACCGCGTCCCTGTAGCCGCGCCCCTGACAGTTGGCGAAGCTACCCCCCCAGGGGGCGGGGTTCGAGCTGGGGGCAGGGCTTGAGGCAGGGGAGGGTCGGGCCCAGATTGACAACTTGCACGGATTCCTTAGACTCCTTGACTTCCCAGGACCCCGGGCTAGCAGATCTGCTGTCCAGCTGGAATCCACCGATGGAGGCTCCGCTGCAAACAGGAATGGTAAGGGGCAGGGCGGCGCGGGGGAGGGATGAGGGCGTGGGGTGCCACGGGGACTACAACTCCCGGAGTGCTCAGCGCGCATTACGCGTTCTGGCGAGAACACTTTGCGTCCGCTCCGGCGGAACTACGTTTCCCGGCATGCACTTCGGACTGCTGGGCCTCCGGGAATAGTCGCGCCCCCGAGGAGCTAGCGGCGCTGGCCCATTCTGCAGATGGGGTTATCGAGTCACGAGTTGATTACAAACTCCTCGGGAGCGAAGGTGACGGAGAGGGATGGGGTCCAGGACGTCCCGGCCCCCGGGGAGGGCCGGGCGGGACGGATTTGTGGTCCGCAGCCAGTGCCGTTCGTCCCTCAGGTGCTGGGCGTGATGATCGGGGCCGGAGTGGCCGTCGTGGTCACGGCCGTGCTCATCCTCCTGGTGGTGAGGAGGCTGCGAGTGCCGAGTGAGCAACCGAGGGGCCCCTCTTGGGAGGCTGTGGGGTGGGGGGCCCAAATCCCCGGGTCCTGAGGCGGTAGAGATGGGGATTTGCTGGCGTCTGCACGCAGTCCCCCAGCTCTGGCAACGTGGAGTCTGCTCAGAGCTCCTAGTGCCCCTGTCCCCACGTATCCTCAGAAACCCCAGCCCCGGATGGCCCCCGGTATCGGTTCCGGAAGAGGGACAAAGTGCTGTTCTATGGCCGGAAGATTATGCGGAAGGTGAGTCCGGGTCCGCTCTGACCACACTGAGGCCCCGCCCCTTCCCTATTTGCACTTCTTAAGAGTCCACCACTAACACCTCCTTGATGGAGAGCCCCTGGATCCATCCCCCTCTCCCCTAGGGTCTGAATTAATAAACCCATCCCCTCCTTCATTCTCCCAGGTGTCACAGTCCACTTCCTCCCTCGTGGATACCTCTGTCTCCACCACTTCCCGGCCACGCATGAAGAAGAAACTGAAGATGCTCAACATCGCCAAGAAGTAAGTCTGTGCTGGGTGTGACCTGGTATTGGGGGTTATCTCAGGGGCCTTTTGAGTCATCAATGCACACCAAAGTGTTGTGAAAACCTTCCCATATCGGCCAGGTGCGGTGGCTCACGCTTGTAATCCCAGCACTTTGTGAGGCGGAGGCAGGTAAATCACTTGAGGTCAGGAGTTCGAGACCAGCCTGGCCAACATGGAGAAACCCTGTCTCTACTACAAATGCAAAAATTAGCTGGGTGTGGTGGCGGGCGCCTCTAATCCCAGCTACTCAGGAGGTTGAGACAGAAGAATCACTTGAACCCAGAGGTGGAGGTTGCAGTGAGCTGAGATCACACCACTGCACTCCAGCCTGGGTTACAGAGCGACACTCTGTCTCAAAAAAAAAAAGTCTTCTGGTATCAGAGGGATATCTCTGGACTCTGGTCTGAGGGGATATCTCAGAGCTCTTCCACACCAGACACTTTGTCTCTAGGGGTCTCTGTCCCATGAGAGCCAGCTCAGTGATGGTCTCTTTCCACTGGGGTATCTGAGCTACTTGTTCCCAAGTCATTATCTCAGAGGTTTTGCCATATATTTGGGGGTCTACATCAGGGGTCTCCATATAGGTTATTTCATGGGTCTCCTCACATGAGTGGTTTTATTCCAGGGTACCTCACTGAGGTCATTCTAAGTGTTTTTATGATTTCCTAAAGGGACTATTTCCAGCCTCCAGCCTCTCTTCTCCAGGGGTTATCTCAGCCATCTCTCTACATCAGAAGCATCTTTCTTGGCCAGGCATGGTGCCTCATGCCTGTAATCCCAGCACTTTGGGAGGCCGAGGAAGGTGGATCATGAGGTCAGGATTTCAAGACCAGCCTGGCCAAAATGGTGAAACCCAGTCTCTACTAAAATACAAAAAAAAAAAAAAAAAAATTAGCCAGGCACAGTGGCAGATGCCTGTAATCCCAGCTACTCGGGAGGCTGAGGCAGGAGAATCACTTGAACCCAGGAGGCAGAGGATAGAGAGAGCTGAGATCATGCCACTGCACTCCAGCATCGGCAAAACAGAAAAACACTCTCTCTCAAGCTAGAAAGAAATGGCATGAAGAAGAAGGCAACTCTCCTGTGTCATAGACCTTAGAGTTCTTCCCATACTAAGGCAGCTGTCTCAAGAGTTTCTAATCCCTAGGGGCTATCTCAGGAAACTTGTTGCACTAGAAACATAGGAAGGATACCTCAGAGATTCCTATTGGTGGCAAGGAGCTATCTCAGGGTCTGCGAGAAAGGCTCTCCAACTCTCTTTGCAAGGCGGGTGCTGGCCCTGGGATCTCCTTGCACCATGGAGCCTACCTGAAGGTCTGTCTCGAGGGTTTATTCACACTAGGGCATCATCCCAGGGCTCTCCATGATCAGTAGTCCTGCAGTGTCAGGGCTTTCTATGAGTTGAGTAGAACGGCTGTTTTGGCCGATGTGGTGGCTCATGCCTATAATCCCAGCACTTAGGGAGGCTGAGGTGGGCGGATCACCTGAGGTCAGGAGTTCAAGACCCACCTGGCCAACATAGTAAAACTCTGTCTCTACTAAAAATACAAAAATTATGCTTGCTGGAATATGCCTGAAAGAAAGAAAGAAAAAAAAAAAGAAAGAAAAATTTAAAAATTAGCTGGGTGTAGTGGCATGCGCCTATAGTCCCAGCTACTCAGGAGGCTGAGGCAGGAGAATCGATTGAATGAGGGAGGCAGAGGTTGCAGTGAGCTGAGACCACGCCATTGCACTCCAGCCTGGGTGACAGGGCAAAACTCCATCTCAAAAATAAAAGGGGGGTGCTATCTCAAAGTTCCCCGTGATCAGTTGAGGATCTATATCTCAGGTTTTTCCACATCACAGGACCTGTCTTCAGTGTTTGCATCGTCTTTTTTTTTCTTGAGAGGGAGTCTCACTCTGTAGCCCAGGCTGGAGTGCACTGGCACGATCTCGGCTTACTGCAACCTCTGCCTCCTGGGTTCAAGTGATTCTCCTGCCTCAGCCTCCCGAGTAGCTGGGAATACAGGTGCGCACCTCCACACCTGGCTAATTTTCGTGTTTTTGTTTGTTTGTTTGTTTTATTTTTAATTTTATTTATTTGTTTTAGAGACCGGGTTTCATCATGTTAGCCAGGATGGACTCAATCTCCTGACCTCGTAATCCTCCTGCCTCAGCCTCCCAAAGGGCTGGGATTACAGGCGTGGGCCACCATGCCCAGCCTAATTTTCATGTTTTTAGTAGAGATGGGGTTTCACCATGTTGGCCAGGCTGATCTCGAACTCCTGACCTCATGATCCACCCACCTTGGGCTCCCAAAGTGCTGGGATTATTGGCTTGAGCCACTGCGCCCAGCCAGTGTTACTCTTAAGGGACTATTCTGATAGCTTCATGATTGTCAGAGGGCTATCTCAGCTTTCTTTGATCTAGGGAGGTGATAGCTCAAGATCTCTCTGATCAGAAAAAGAATAATAATTGTTATTATTGTTATTATTATTTTGGAGATAGGATCACAATCTGTTGCTCAGGCAAAAGTACAGTGGCATGATCACAGCTCACTGCAGCCTCGACCTCCTGGGCTCAGGAGATCCTCTCCTGCCTCAGCCTTTTAAGTAGCTGGGACCACAGGCACGCACAACTATGCCTGGCTAATTTTTTAATATTTTGTAGAGATCGGTGGAGGCAGAGGGGGGTGCTCACTGTGTTGCCTAGGCTGGTCTTGAACTCCTGGCCTCAAGCAATCCTACCGCCTCACCCACACAAAATGCTGGTATTACAGGCATGAGCCACCACGCCCAGCCAAAAAAGAATTATATCTGAACTTCTTGATATCACTGAATTTAATTCAGGGTCCCATCCTCTAAGGTCTATCTCAGGGATCTTCTGCCAGTGGAGGGTCTGTCTCAGCAATCACTGTGATTTGTGGGGAGGGTGTCACGCAGGTCCATGATTAGCAGAGGGGCTATCTCTGAATTCTCCACTTATTTTATTTTGTTTTTGAGATGGAGTCTCACTCTAGCCAGGCTGGAGCGCAGTGGTGCAATCTTGGCTCACTGCAACCTGCACCTCCCGGGTTCAAGTGATTCTCCTGCCTCAGCCTCCCGAGTAGCTGGGACTACAGGTGCGTGCCACCATGCCCAGCTAATTTTTGCATTTTTTTATAGATGGAGTTTCACCATGGCCAGGATGGTCTTGATCTCATGACCTCTTGATCTGCCTGTCTCGGCCTTCTAAAGTGCTGGGATTACAGGCATGAGCCACTGCACCCAGCCTGGATTCTCCACTTATGATGAGGGCTACTTCAGGGATCTCTGGCCATCAGAGGGGCCGTCTCAAGGTTTTCTGAGACCTGGGAGGAAGGTCTATCTCAGGAACGTTTACATAGAGCAGAGTGGCTGTATGTGGGGTCTTCTCATATATTGGAAGCTATGTCAAAGGCACACCCATGTTAAGAGGGCTGTCTCAGGAATCTACTCTGTGACTACTGGGAGGACCTTTTTTGGGCCCCCGTGACAAGCACAGGTACCATTTCCAGGCCTACCTTTATCTTGGAAGCTATGTCAGGGGTCTGTCTCCCTAAAGGGTTCAGCTCAGGGGCCTATGCCTAGTGGAGGGGCCATCTCAGAGAACTTTAGGTCTGGGTCATAGGGTTTTTCCATAAAGGACCAGATAGTAAACGTTTCAGGCCAGCCACATACCATCTCCATTGCAGCTCTTCAACTCTGCTGCAAGGGAGCAGCCATAATGATATGCAAATACATGAATATGGCTTTGCACCAATAAAACTTTATTTACAAAAATAGGTGGCCGCCTGGGTGCCATGGCTCATGCCTTAATCCCAGCACTTTGGGAGGCAGAGGCAGGCGGATCACCTGAGATTAGGAGTTTAAACTAGCCTGGCCAACATGGGGAAACCCCGTCTCTAGTAAAAATACAAAATATTAGCTGGGCATGGTCACGCCCGCCTGTAGTCCTAGCTCCTCAGGAGGCTGAGGCAGGAGAATAGCTTCAGCTAGGAGGTGGAGGTTGCAGTGGGCCGAAATTTCACCACTGCACTCCAGTCTGCGTAAAAGAGCGAGACTCTGTCTCAAAAAAAAAATAGGTGGCCGGCCTGATTTGACTATCGAGTCAGAGTTTGCTGTACGTGAGCCCTAGGGAAAGGGGTATGTGAGGGTCTTAGGTTTGTCTGAGCCTTCTCCCTGTCCCCCTCATCCCCCACACCCCTCATCCCACCAGGATTCTGCGCATCCAGAAAGAGACACCCACGCTGCAGCGGAAGGAACCCCCACCCGCAGTTCTGGAGGCCGACCTGACCGAGGGTGACCTGGCTAACTCCCATCTGCCCTCTGAAGTGCTTTATATGCTCAAGAATGTCCGGTCAGTGTCAGGGGTGCGGGCAGGGGCGGAGGGCTGCAGACCTGGGGTCTCCCTGACCTCCTGCCTCTGTCCCCCACTACCTGTCCAACAGGGTGCTGGGCCACTTCGAGAAGCCACTCTTCCTGGAGCTTTGCCGCCACATGGTCTTCCAGCGGCTGGGCCAGGGTGACTATGTCTTCCGGCCAGGCCAGCCGGACGCCAGCATCTACGTGGTGCAGGACGGGCTACTGGAACTCTGTCTGCCAGGGCCTGTGAGTGGGCTGCCACAGGGGCTCCTGCAGGAGGGTGGGTGGCACCAGTAGGGATAAGCTGCAGTGTTGGTCTGTAGATGCATCATCGGAGATGTATCATCGGAAGTCAGGGGAAAGGGTGACCAAGGACATTTGGGGTGGTCTGCATGGTTGCTCATTAGATATAGGTATTGAACGACAGGAGATACCTGCTCTCTGGAAGGCTTGGCGGGTTCCCCTGTGAAGGGATGGGAGGCGTCAGTGATCATAGTGATCATGGGTGAGGGGGTGAAATGCTAGTCACCAGGGCAAGGCCCACTGAGGGTCCACTGTCCCCTGTGTCTCAGGATGGGAAGGAGTGTGTGGTGAAGGAAGTGGTTCCCGGGGACAGCGTCAACAGCCTTCTCAGCATCCTGGATGTCATCACCGTGAGTGACCAGTTCCTAGGGCAGCAGGGGTTGAGGGGCGTGGCCATTAGATGAGGCGGGATGAGGGGGTACAAGGACCTACCCAAGGGACTGCATTGAAGGAAATCACCGCGTCCCCATTCTCTGATTCATCCCTGATGCTGCCGATAGCCCCTCATTGGACTGGCGCCGGGAAGGATTGGGGGAGTAGCAAGGGGGACTCACAGCCCCTGCCCTGGTCTCTCTTCACACCCTCCCCTCCCCCAGGGTCACCAGCATCCCCAGCGGACCGTGTCTGCCCGGGCGGCCCGGGACTCCACGGTACTGCGCCTGCCGGTGGAGGCGTTCTCTGCTGTCTTCACCAAGTACCCTGAGAGCTTGGTGCGGGTTGTGCAGGTCAGCTGGCCTTCGTCTCCCGCCACTCACCCAGGGACCCCACCCTGGCCCCCACCCATTCCAGGCTTCATTGGGCCGGGGCCCAGCAACCATCAGGCGCTGGAGCTGTGGTTATCGGCCCAGAGCAGCTAGACATCCGCAGCTGCTGACTCCTCCCTTAACTGCCTCGCCCCATTTCCCCAGATTGTGGGTCTCTCCCTGGTTCCCGGCCCCACCCCTCATGCTGTGAACTAGCCCGGCCCACCATCTGGCCCTGCCCCTGACCCCGCCCCGTCTAATGGCCACGCCCCTCGAGCCCTGCAGATCATCATGGTGCGGCTGCAGCGAGTCACCTTCCTGGCGCTGCACAACTACCTGGGTCTGACCAATGAGCTCTTCAGCCACGTGAGTGGGTGACGGAGAGCGAGCATAGGGGGATGGGGGCGAGGTCAGGATGGGGCTCCCAGGACAGGCCACAAGCCGTTCTCTGTCCCCAGGAGATCCAGCCCCTGCGCCTGTTCCCCAGCCCAGGCCTCCCAACGCGCACCAGCCCTGTGCGGGGCTCCAAGCGGATGGTCAGCACCTCAGCTACAGACGAGCCCAGGGAGACCCCTGGCCGGCCACCTGACCCCACCGGGGCTCCGCTGCCTGGACCTACAGGTACCCAGGGACCTGGGGCTGGCAGAGCCCAATCTCCCAGGAAGCCCCGTCTCAGCACCCAATCCCTTTTTCAGTTCTGCAGAGATTCATCCTGACCCTGTCTAGCCCCCCAGGGACCCCATAGCTGGGTACCCAGGTCTGACTCCTCTCTGGTCCCCCGGAAGCTCTGGCCTCAACCCCAAGGACCCATTGGAAATGCTTTAACCAGTCCCCAGCGGCTTCTTATCTCCCAACCTGTTAATCCGCCCAGTGGATCTGAGGGGCAGTAGCCTGAACACGTGTCTCCCCCAGGGGACCCTGTGAAGCCCACATCCCTGGAAACCCCCTCGGCCCCTCTGCTGAGCCGCTGCATCTCCATGCCAGGGGACATCTCAGGTTTGGAGCACCAGGTCTGGGGGGAGGGCCATGGAGCTTCCAGGTTTGAATCCAGGTGCCACTGCCTGCCCATCTTGATTTTTTTTATCTGCAAGATAGGAATACTGCCAATACTTCCTCGGGCACTTTTTTGTAGACATTTATTGAGATCGTGCTTCTCCCATCTGTGTTGAGCAGGATTCAGAGGGAGAGTGCAGGCATCAATTAGTCATGTCTGCTATAGCAGGTGGCCTTTGGCACATTGGTATCCATTGGTCTCAGACTGCAACTGTGGTCACTCTCATCTTTTTCTTTGCTCATTTTGAGACCTGTCTCCCAGACTGGAGTGCAGTGGTGCCATCGTAGCTCATTGCAGCCTTGAACTCTTTGAACTCTTGTGCTCAAGTGATCCTCCAGCCCCAGCCTCCCAAATAGCTGGAGCTACAGGCCTGCACCACCACATCTGGCTCATTTTTTAAAAATCTTACTCTCATCTTTATGGCTTTTGTTGCCCCCCTACCCACCCGCAGGCTTGCAGGGCGGTCCCCGCTCTGACTTCGACATGGCCTATGAGCGTGGCCGGATCTCCGTGTCCCTGCAGGAAGAGGCCTCTGGGGCATGTCAGGCAGCCCCCGCTAGGGTAAGGCCTGGGACCCTGGCCAGTGGTGGAGCCTGCTGGGGCAAGGTGGCCAGGAAGGAGCAGCAGGAGGTCACAAGCTTGTCCCACTCAGACCCCCACTCAGGAGCCGCGTGAGCAGCCGGCAGGTGCCTGCGAATACAGCTACTGTGAGGATGAATCAGCCACCGGTGGCTGCCCCTTCGGGCCCTACCAGGGCCGCCAGACCAGCAGCATCTTCGAGGCTGCAAAGCGGGAGCTGGCCAAGCTGATGCGGATCGAGGTGGGCCGCCAAGGGGAGCTGGGCATGGGGCGCAAGGGAGGCCTGGCTGTGCCCATCTCAACCCCCTCCCTCCCTCCCTAGGACCCCTCCCTCCTGAACAGCCGAGTCTTGCTGCACCACGCCAAAGCCGGCACTATCATTGCCCGCCAGGGCGACCAGGTGAGGCTGACGCCTGACCTCTAACCATGCCACCTGAGAGTGTTCCCTCTGATTTCTGTGACCTCTGATCCCTGCCCTGTGACTGTAAGACCTGCACCTTTCCCTGTAGAAGCAGACCCCTCTCATCCTATCATTTCCAACCTGTAACCCTTGGATTCTATGACCACCACCCCTAACCCTACCCCATGTCCTCTGGACCTGTCAACCCTTCACCTGTTACCCCTGAACCTTTGGCCCTAGGACCCCAACTCGTAGAGCTCTCCCACCTGCCCTGGTTCTTCCTGTCATTCTGTTTTCTGAACTTCTGATCCTGCAGTATTCGCTAGCGTGTCTGCTTCTCACCCTGACCCCTGCCAGGATAAAGGCTCAATAAATGGCTACAAATCGCCATCTGGCCCTGGAAGGCCATGAACCAGCCCTGGGGGTGGGGTTTCAGGGCCTCCTGGCGGCACCCAGGAAGCATAGGAAAATGTATCCCACCAGTCTGTGCACTGTCCACATAGGGAAACTGAGGCCCATCAAGAGTTAGTGACCCAACCACCAGCTGAAAGGAAACCCCAGGGTAAGAGGAAGAGGAGGAAAGTGGAAGCCCACACTCTGCCCCCAAAGTGTGGCAGATGATGGATGATCTAGAAGGTTCTTTGCTTCCTTATCAGTGGAATGGGGCAATAAAGAGGAGACACCCAGTTCGCAGAACCCCAATGAAAGTTTTTTCTTTTTTTTTTTTTTTTTTTTGAAACAAAGTCTTGGCCGGGCACGGTGGCTCACACCTGTAATCCCAGCACTTGGGAGGCCGAGGCGGGTGGATCACGAGGTCAGGAGTTCAAGACCAGCCTGACCAACATGGTGAAACCCCGTCTCT